CAAGACATAGCAAGCATATCATCATGAGATTTAGTCAAGCAATTTCTACATGATATGCAAGGACTATCAACACAAGCATGTGAAACATTTGGAGTGCTCAAAGTGTTAAAGCCCAATGAAGGAGCATTGCAATAATATAGTGATGAAGGATCATCCACAATAAGCATACTATCATCATTGCAATGACCAACACTACTCACCATATCATTACCTTGTGGAAAACCACATGTAGGTGAAGTAGAAGAAGTTGAGAAGACTATACGACCGAAGGTGGAGGGAGAACAATCATCCCCACAAATCTTGGACACACCATATTTATCTTGAAGCTTCGTCCACAACTCATGAGCATCTCGGAACGGCATGAGTTGAGATATAACTACATTGCTCAAAGCATCGAAAAGCACATTAGAAGCTTGAGCATTGAGATAAGAGTTTTTCTCATCCTCTAAAGATAATCTTTGGGGATCCTTTGGAGGAGAAAAACCCATATCTACAATTCGCTCTAAATTTGGGTCCATGACCCTAAAGAGATTAAGCATGCGAATTACCCAAACATCAAAATTTGTGCCATCGAAACTAAGAGTGTCAGAGAATCCTAATCCCCTAGTCAACATCTTTACTCTCTAGGAGGTTAAGCCTAACAAAGAGAGACGAGGCTCTGATACCAATTGAAAGATCGTGGATGTCGCCTAGAGGGGGGTGAATAGGCGCTTTAAAATAATTACGGTTTAGGCTTGAACAAATGCGGAATAAACCTAAGGGTTAATTTGACAAGCACAAAACCTACAACAACTAGGCTCACCTATGTGCACCAACAACTTATGCTAAGAAAGATAAGCAACTATGTGATAGCAAGATATATGACAAAGAACAATATGGCTATCACAAAGTAAAGTGCATAAGTAAAGGGCTCGGGTAAGAGATAACCGAGGCACGCGGAGATGACAATGTATCCCGAAGTTCACACCCTTGCGGATGCTAATCTCCGTTTGGAGTGGTGTGAAGGCACATTGCTCCCCAAGAAGCCACTAGGGCCACCGTAATCTCCTCACGCCCTCGCACAATGCAAGATGCCATGATTCCACTAAGGGGCCCTTGAGGGCGGTCACCGAACCCGTACAAATAGCAACCCTTGGGGGCGGTCACCGAACCCGTACACTTTGGCAACCCTTGGGGCGGTCACCGGCACCCGTCAAATTGCTCGGGCGATCTCCACAACCTAATTGGAGACCCCGACGCTTGCCCGGAGCTTTACACCATAATGATTGAGCTCCGAACACCACCAACCGTCTAGGGCGCCCAAGCACCCAAGAGGAACAAGCTCAAGGGCACCAAGCACCCAAGAGTAATAAGCTTCTCAACTTGTAACTTCCACGTATCGCGTGGAGAACTCAAACCGATGCACCAAATGCAATGGCAAGGGCACACGGAGTGCCCAAATCCTTCTCTCCGAAATCCCACCAAAGCAACTAATGCTAGGGAGGAAAATAAGAGGAAGAACGAAAGAAGAACACGAAGAACTCCAAGATCTAGATCCAAGGGGTTCCCCTCACTTAGAGGAGAAGTGATTGGTGGAAACGTGGATCTAGATCTCCTCTCTTTTTTCCCTCAAGAACTAGCAAGAATCATAGGAGGGATTGAGAATTAGCAAGCTGGAAGAGGGTCAACAATGGGGGAAGAACACGAGCTCAAAGGATAAGGTTCACTGGGGAAGAAGACCCCCTTTTAAAGGTGGGAGAAAATCCAACCGTTATGCTCACAGCCCGCACAGAGCGGTACTACCGCTCCAACGAGCGGTACTACCGCTAGGGCGGTAGTACCCCTTTGAAAAACAACAGCGAGGCGGCAAAAGGCCAGTAGAACCGCCGGAGTGGTACTACCGCTCGTCCTCACGGTACTACCGCTCGACCTCACGGTACTACCGCAAATGGTAGCGGTACTACTGCTTGCGAGCGGTACTAAAAAATACTTCTGTGCCTACTTCCGCTGAGCAAAACACGAGATTTTGGTCCGGAGCGGTACTACCATTTAGGAGACGCGGTAGTACTGCTCTGGAGCGGTACTACCGCTCAGGAGCCGCGGTAGTACCGCTCTGGAGCGGTAGTAAAAAATTACATCCGCTCTAGTCGCGGTAGTACCGCTGCAGCCTTTACCAAAACAGCCACAACTTTTGCAAACGGACTCTGAATTCAATGAAACCAAGTTTGTTGGAAAGCTAACGACATGGGCTAACACAATCTTGATAGAAATGTAAAGAATAAGAAAATGAGAAAACTCCCAAAAGAAAATGGTGAGAACCCTTCATCGGATAAGACCGGTAAAACCTCCAACACCGAAAACATCATAGAAGACGCATGCGAACTCCGTTTTCGATGAACTCAAGCTTGTCATCAAGATGACCATAAGCTCTAAGACTCACAAAGATAACCCAACAAAAACCAAGAAACATGATGCAAGGATGCAATGGTTTGAGCTCTCTACTAACGATACGATCAAGCTACCAACTTGAGAGCCCCCCTTGATAGTACGGCAAACGATCCTATAACTCGGTCTCCCAACTACCACCACGAGACTGGTAAAATTGAAAACCTATCAAGGGAAAACCTTTGCCTTGCACATGGTCCACTTGAGCTAGATGAAGACGATCTTGACTCTCTCAAGTTGGACCACCTTTCTTGATTGTGTTGGCTCGTTGAAGACTAGATGATTGCTCCCCCATAGTCCACTATGGGTGAGCCACTCTTAGGCACATCTTCACACGTCCATTGACACCACAATGGATGGAAAGATTCAAGCACTTGATCTCTTCGTGATGCTCCACTTGAACTTGCACACGGCAATCTTGATGATGATCACCACTTGATGTCATCCTTTCCATGGGTTGTATGATATCTGCCTCTTGATGCAAGCCCATGGACATGTACCTAACCCCACATAGAACTCTCACATAGACCATGGGTTAGTACACAAAGTGCAATGGACAATGCTTACCATACCATGGGATCACTTGATCCCTCTCGGTACATCTTCTACGCTTTGTGAGTTGATCAACTTAATTCACTATTGACTTAGTCTTGATCAACCTTGAATCTTTCCAACTCTCTTCATTTGGATGATGTCTTGAAGGTAAACATGAATGATCACACAATCTTCTTCTTCAAGACATGCTTGCAATAAGGTCAATACTCACATGACCAATCTTTGGATAATTCCTTAATAGCACCTTGGTCAACTCATAAACTCCTTGAAACCAACACATGGACTTCAATAAAAGCCTATGGACAAATCCTTCAAATATAACTCAAGACAACCATAAGTCCATAGAGATCGTCATCAATTACCAAAACCAAACATGGGGGCACCGCATGTTCTTTCATCTGGTTCTCCGCCCTCTCTTCCTTTTGTAGGGTAATAGATAATAGATAATAGATATAAGCATGGAAAATACACTTGTGTTCCTGGTTGTATATGCACCCTATATGGGGATTTTTTTTAATATTTTAATAAAAAGTCAAAATAGGTAAGAACTATTTTGACAGAACACTTGACTTACTTTTGCACTAGTATATAAATCTCGACGAAAAAAAACAAAAGTTGACCTCACAGCAAAAAAGACAAAATTTATTTGCTATTATAGGTCACTATTCACACTATTTTAGCCAAAAAAATTGTCTTTTTTGAAAAGAAGTCAAAGGGATTTTTTTGTGGATTTTTTTTTCACGAGTGCAATAGAAGGTCAAGTTTATTTCAAAAATATTTTCAGGAATTTTTGACTTTTTGTTGAATTACTAATTTTTTCCCCATATATGCATATGTCCCATAGACCAAAAGTTTCCCTCCATATAAGCATGCCTTTTTTTTCGAACCGGGCATGACCCCTTTCCATTGCAAATGAACGGAAATACAAAGTTCCGAAAACAACGGGAGGAAGGGGAAAGAGGTACAACGAGTTTGAGCATTACCAGAAAACCCACTGTGTTCGCCTGTCATCGTAACGAACGCCATGGGGCGAAAACCTGACAACACCATAGTTCAACACCAACCCTACAGGACCATTACAACTAGGAGCCAGCACAGTAGCAACAGCACGAAAGCCAGATTTTGACCCAACAAAAGCATCCGAAGCCGAACTTGCACGATCATTCTCCCTCGATTGGCCTCCTCACCGCTTCACACATCTTCATCAGCCGCACTGTGCTTGACCTGACCATCTCCGCCCCGCTTCGCAGCTCCTTGATCCCTTCTCCTTGTTGTAGACCTGCCCAGTACAGCAAAAAGGAAACCACGGAGAAAACAATCTCAAAACGAGTTTTAATCTGCTTTTTCTCAAAAGTTGCTCGGTTTCGAGCAAGCCAGATCGCCCAGCAAACAGCAGCGAGACCCACGGTATAATACTTTCCTCCAGCAGGGAGGAAAGTGTGGCACCAAGAGAAGTATTGCCAGTAACTATTCGGGCATAAGTGAGTCCCCAATGCCATCCCAATACATCTCCATATCTCTCTAGCCACCGGCCGGGCAAGTGAAAAATAAATGTCTGGAAGACTCAACCTCATTGCAAAAAGGACACTTGGGTTCCCAGGCCACCTTCTTTTTTTCATAACTTGCCTGGTAAGAACAGCATCCTGGGACATTTGCCACAAGAAGATTTTGATATGCCTTACCTAGGCGGACAAGCACAACATACGTACAGCAGCGTGTCGCGCCCGAGCACGACCCGTTTTGTCTAAAAAAAGAAAAAAAAAGAGAAAGGCAGAAGCTCAGCACCTTCCCGTGCCTTTCCTCGATCGTACTCGATCACACCGCCGCTTGCTTTCCTCAACTCCACTGCCGTCCCACCCCACCTCGCGACTGAAATCACCGCCAGCCCGACCGATCTCTTGCCTGGTAAAGCCCCCGGCCATCCGAGCCCATCGATACCATGGTTCCTCTGCGGAGTATTCTGATGTTCACGGCGTCGAATTTGGTGCAGGGGAGGGGAGGGGAGGGAGAGCGAGGAGGAAATGCCGACCAAGAGGAGCGTGGGCACCCTGGGCGAGAAGGACCTCAGCGGGAAGAAGGTGCTCCTCCGCGCCGACCTGAACGTGCCGCTGGACGACGGCCAGAGGATCGCCGACGACAACCGCATCCGCGCCTCCGTGCCCACCATCAACTTCCTCATGGGCAAGGGCGCCAAGCTCATCCTGGCCAGCCATCTGGTGAGCACTGAGCAGAGCACAGCCTTCTCGATCTGTGCCTACGGCGTTTTACTGACCAATTTGTGTTGCTTAAGCTGAGGGTGTCAGATTGGGGATTCAGTGTCAGACTCAAGTCATCTGTTAGTCCACTAATATCTTGGGAGTGGGTGGGGGGGTGGGTGGGTAGCCTGTTAGTCTCGTCCTTATAAAAAACCTAATCATAACAAAAATAGTGAGAATTAACTTAGAATTTCATTTTCTTGAATTGTTGGGTACCTTTCATACAGAACAGATTCCTCTGTCCAGTTCGTGTGAATTGCTTTTGTATATGTCGATTTGTCATTACAGTAATATGTAAAATAATTTGTTCAAGTGCGAGCTAATTAACTCTTCATAGACTTTCCAATATGCGATTAGGCTTCCATATTTTAGTGCTAAACCCTGCTTATTTACTTACTGTTTTTCTCTACTCTTAGCGATAATGTGTTGCTAACTACTACTTATTGATTAATGAAAATATGAGATGGCGTGGAGCTGTATCGTGAGAAATGTTCAGAGCTCATCCTCATGCCACTTAACTGTTTTTTTTTTTTGACATATTCTGAATTTTAACACTTAAAACCAACCCGGAACAACATCTTTTTTCAGAACATAAAAGTATAGCAAAAACTAACATTTCTAATACTAACGTTGTTTTCTTTTCAGGGCCGGCCAAAAGGTGTCACCCCGAAGTACAGCTTGAAGCCTCTTGTTCCACGCCTGTCTGAGCTTCTTGGAGTTGATGTACGTTATAACAACATAACTCATGGTTATTTTTTGCTTAATCTGAAACCCTGGCTGATCTTATATTTTCTTGATTTGTTCATGTGCTTTAAAAAGGTTGTGATGGCGAATGACTGCATAGGTGAGGAAGTTGAGAAATTAGCTACTGCTTTACCAGATGGAGGTGTTCTACTTCTAGAAAATGTAAGATTCTACAAGGAGGAAGAAAAGAATGACCCTGAGTTCGCCAAGAAACTAGCATCTGTTGCTGATCTTTATGTAAATGATGCCTTTGGCACTGCACACAGAGCACATGCTTCAACAGAGGGAGTTACCAAGTATTTGAGGCCTGCTGTCGCTGGATTTCTTATGCAGAAGGTATATATTGCCGAAGTTGCATTGGTCCATGAACTACTGAAACCGTTCCACTGCTACTATTTACAGTATCAGTACAAGTGATGTCATTCTTGAGCTAAGTGTCCCAGATAATGATTGCCATCATTGTAGGAACTTGACTATCTTGTTGGAGCTGTTGCCAACCCGAAAAAGCCATTTGCTGCCATTGTTGGTGGATCCAAAGTGTCAACCAAGATTGGGGTGATCGAGTCTCTTTTGTCGAAGGTTGACATCCTCATCCTTGGTGGCGGTATGATTTACACATTTTACAAGGCCCAGGGGTATGCTGTTGGGAAATCTCTTGTGGAGGAAGACAAGCTTGAACTGGCAAACTCTCTTACTGAGATGGCCAAGTCGAAGGGGGTCTCTCTTTTGCTTCCCACTGATATTGTAGTAGCTGATAATTTTGCTGCAGATGCTGAGAGCAAGGTATGATCATTCAATAGTAGTGGTTGTGTATTAGAATTTCTATTCATTGCAAGTATTATTATACCGGAAAAGGCTTTTGCCCCGCTTTATATATAAAGCAAGCAACCACATAACCATTCATACAAGTCAGGTACAAGAAAATGGAAGAAAATACATCTGCTGGAGGCACCAACTAATGCAATGCAAGTACTATTTGATCCTAATCAGTGTCACAAGAACTTACTATGGAATCTGCACCCAAAGAATTTATGTTGGCATAGATAATTGTAGTTCATAACTGGCAGAGCAAGACATGCATGGTTCTGTAATTCTGTAATACATGTCTGGCATTATCTGTATCATGTATGTCATGTTGCATTGTACATGGAAACGAACTCGACACAACTGTTCATTGTTTGGAATGGAGTTATTTGCTAGCTATCATGGACTCATCCTGACACCATTTACAGATTGTTCCTGCCTCTGCTATTCCTGATGCTTGGATGGGTCTTGACATTGGCCCAGATTCTATCAAGAAATTCAGTGAAACTTTGGACACTACCAAGACTGTCATCTGGAATGGGCCGATGGGAGTTTTCGAATTTGAGAAGTTTGCTGCTGGCACCGATGTGAGTACCCATATCCAGCACATGTACTTTCTACAGTGCACATATGTGTTTGTGTTCTGCACTTCTGCTGCTAAAACATGCATTCTTTCTTCAGGCGATCGCGAAAAAGTTGGCTGATATCACAGCAAAAGGCGTGACAACCATCATCGGCGGTGGCGACTCTGTTGCTGCCGTCGAGAAGGCTGGTTTGGCGAGTAAGATGAGCCACATTTCGACCGGAGGTGGCGCAAGCCTGGAGCTGTTGGAAGGCAAGACCCTCCCAGGCGTCCTTGCTCTCGACGACGCATAGGCTGGTGGCAAGACGTGTTTACCCAGTCGTTGCGCCACTCTGTTGTTCAGACCCTTGGTGTACAGATGCGAGTGTATCCTGAAATAGAAGTAGAGGTTTCTCTGAAGGTTTTGTCAGACGAGCAGTAGTAAATAAGCTTGACTTCCGTCGCAATGGGAGCAGAGTATCTCGCACAAGCAAACCTTTATTGGTCGATGTAACAGTGTAGACTTCTGTAAACTGCATGGCTTGAGCTGTGTTTGTTTTGAGTTCCTTTTGTGAGAATAAAGGGGTGCCGTTTTCGAGTAGGGCGTTTTGGAGGCCAATTTTTTTTTGAAAAAAGTCAAAACTGAAACTTTTCAGTTTCAAAAACTTTTGAAAATGAATATATACATATACAGGGATGTAATGTATATGCATGTAAAATTTCATGACGAGATACCTTAAATTGCGAGCTGCAAAAAAAAAGGAACTTTGAGCATGAACGGGGCAAGTGCTGAAAAGCCACATGTTTGTTTTTCTTTGTGTAGCTCTCATTTTTAACGTATTTCATCATAAAAATTTACACACATGTACATTATGTCTCCGGATGTATGTTTAATTTTTCTCAAATATTTTTAAAACATAAAAGTATGAATTTTCATTTTTTTTCAAATTCCGCCTCCATGGAGCTCGGCCTCCCTTCAGCATTTTTGGCCGTTTTTGCCCATTTAAAAAATATCTAGTGGTATTTTTGTGCGGTCTATCAAAACGAAATGCATCATCTGGAACATCTTGCTGAAGTACAAGTCAGACTAATTAACCTTAAGGCCAACTCCACTGCACGACCCTATCCTGTCCGCCCACGTCCATTTGGGGTAGAAAGGACAAATGAGACGGTCCAACGCGCGATGGCCTGGACCCATCTTGTCCGTTTTGTGTCCACGCCGACCCATTTCGAGCGCAAACTTGCGCCGGTTTTGGGTCGCAGCGGACACCAAACGGACGTGCGCCTCGTCCGCGTCGGGGCCGCGTGGTAGGCGGCCACCTACCTCCCACCCGCCCACATCAATGCGCACGGGCGGGCGGCCCCACCTGTCATCCGCACATCGAAAGGTCGCCGTCCTTCTTTAAGTGGAAACCGTGGACCGGTCGTCATCCACACTGCCCCATGCCACCCCGCGGCCTCCTCGAAACCCGACAGCCAAATCCTAGCCAAGAACTCGCCGGCCGGCTGCCCGCATCCATGGGGCTCTGGAACTACGGCCGCAAAGGCAAGCACGACCGCGAGGCTGGCTCCTCGTCGGGGCGTCACCGCGGCTCGGTGAAGAAGGAGGAGCTGTCCTCGCCATCGCCGCCACGCCGGGCCCCCTCGCGGCCCGCGTTCTCCATCGCCCCCGCGTCCGCCAGCGATCGCGACCGGCACTATATCCGCGCGTCGGTGTGCCGCCGTTATTGGGAGACGAGGACGCCGCTCCCCTGGAGCGACGCCCACCTCCCTAACAACTGGCACCTGTCGGACGACCGCGTGCCGATCCCGCCGGTCCCGGTGACCGGCCGTGCGCGCCGCGAGGAGATCGAGCGCCGCCGCCGCCTCCTCCCGGACGACCTCTACTACGACGAGAGGTACGCCCCCGACTCGCCATTGTGGGACACTTGGTTCCGCGATGAGCACGACACGCACGGGCGTCCTTCTCCGCCGGCACATCGATGGGGCCACGGTGGCCACGCCCAGAGCGCCGAGCGGCTACTCCCCAGGAGCGCGGGCGTAGGCGGGTGCGCGGCCTCACGCCCACGCCGTCTCCGTCGCCATCTCCATCGCCACCACCACCACCTCGCATGACGGAGGAGGAGGAGGCCCGTCTCGTGCAGTGTGTCATGAAGGACTCCATGAACACGCACAACGAGCGGCAATAGGACGGCTCGGAGGAGGCCATGGCACTCTCTGCCGCTGGCGACGTCGCCTTCCCGGAGCTGCAGATGGCGGCCGTCACTGAGGAGAGGAGGGACGACGCAATGCAGGAGGAGCCACCGGCCGCGTTCCAGGAGCTGCTGGGCCAGGGATGGGGCTGGTCCTGCACTGCTCCGGAGATGGCCGCCGGCGTGGGCGTGAACTGGTGCGCCACTCTGCCGTGGTCACTGGAGTGGGAGGCGTCGCCACGGGAAGAGGAGGTGCAGGCACCTCCCGCCGTCCAGCCCGCCCCCGTCTACCACGCACCGCACGCACCGCCGCCCCACCTGTGGACGCCGGCGGCCTACGTCGACCTCGTCAGCGACGACGACGACACCGGCGGCCACTGAAGACAGCCACGGCGACGGCATCGACGGGCACGAGCAGGAGCGCGCCGGTGGCGGCCGTTTTTCCTTTTCCTTTTTATGTTTAATTATTAATGTGACTCGGACGTGAAACTGGGCCGTTTTTTGTGGCCGTGACCCCCTAACTAAGTTTTATGTTTATTAAACTGCGTTTATTTACTTTTTAGTCATTTTATTTATGTTTTCTGTTTTTTTAATACTTTTCTGACACGGACGTGATTTGGGGTGCGGCCGCGCGGTGGGCGCACGCATGACCCAACGGACAAAGCCGGACACGGGCGTACCCATCGGCGCCCCAAAGGAACAAAATCTGGCCAATCCGGACGTCCGTTTGGGGACGTGCGGTGGAGTTGGCCTAACATCATTCAAACTTTTGGTTCTACATGAAACTTTCTTTTTAAAGGATTCTACATGAGTTGGTATATTTCGTTTATTTTACAGCCTTGAAAGTGAATGGGGATTAGTTACACTGATCTTTGCCAATGTGGATTATTTACAGCCTCTTTCCTTTCTACAGTTAAGTCAGTATAAGCCATATCAAAACAGTTCCATGACTAGCCTTTACTAAAGGTATTCCTTCTTATTTTTAGTTGTAACTTGTCGCCTCCCAAGTCAATGATGTCGAAATAGTGCAAAGAATAGTAGCAGTACTCTCTTTAAGTCTGAACCGAATGCTAGCCAAAAACGTCTTGAATGAAATAAATTTTGCCATATTTGATCCAGACGTAGCACCGATCACAGGAAAAAACACTAGGCTTCACAGATTTGCAGGGGAATCTTATTCTTCATAAGATCATAGGTAGGGTGCACAAATAATTAAATGGGAGCGATATAAATAAATACAGATGTAAGACCTAAAGAATCTGCTAAACCACATGGAGGTAGAAGTATTTTTTTTATAGTAATACGTGTCTCATTAATAACATAAAGATTCAGTTACAAGCCATGTAAACATCGATATTACAGGACTGAAAAGATAGGATAATCCTATGCAAAAAACCAGCGTCTGGCCCTCTTCACTAAGGAAAAGGAGACAGATCACCTCTTCACCCGAGCTCGACGCGGCTCCATCGTTGATCTGCAGCTTTACGGACCTCCAAAGTAGTTTGCCTGAAGCAAAACCATTGTCGTTAAAAGAATCAGACCGGGGCAACGTGTCCCCGGACACGCCATCGAACTCCAGAACTGACACCCTCGCACGACTACGACGTCGGAGAAGGAAACCAGAACTGTCAGCCTCCAACCACAAACCCAACACAAGATGCACCATCTTCCAGCTGTCACTTGCGTAGACAAGCGTCTGCGCATACTCCTGGACGACAAAACCTCCCTGTTTCACCATGACGTCGGAGATAACGCCGCAGCAACGGGGACAGAGCAGAAGGAGAGACACACCTGATGGAGTCGCCGCTGCCGCCTCGCCGACACCATCCATGAACCCTAACATCGCCGATCTGAAGGATCGACAAACACATGATGCCACCAACTCCGAGACGCCGCCATGAAGGACACCGCCGGTGTGGGAGTGAAATTGAGGCAGATTTATTCGTTCGGGCGCCGCTCCCACCACCCCAACGGCGGCCCGCCACGACCTACAAGTCCAAACCCTAACTACAGAGCGGAGGAACGGGGTCCCCCCTCCCTCCTGCTGCCGGAGCAGCAGCCGGAGAGAGAGGGGCCCAGCGCCCTCGCCGGTGGAGATCGGTGGAAAAGGATCGCCTCCCTAGTCGCCTCCTCGTGATGGCGACGGCTATGAAGGTAGAAGTATAAGATGTACAATTTCTAGGTCGAATTTCCGTATGTACAAAATCTGCTAAACCACATGCATGGCAGGAGTGACATGCATGGCTTCCACTCGCCAACTCTTTTACTCAAATTCCCACAAACCAAACACGATGTCACTCCCTCTAATCAATCAATAGACTTTTATTCTCCTCATCCCTCAACTCTCATTCTCCATCTCTAATTCACACAAAGCAAACACGCTGTCACTGCCATCAACGGCTGCGCTGAATCGGCGCCTCGGTGGGATACCACGTTAGATGGCCCCTAACCACAGTGTCCACTTCGTGAGGCTTCTACTGCTTATTACTCTATTTTCTTACCTATCCAGAAGTATGTAAACCTCGGGAGACCCTGCAGTGGAGAAGCGAGGCACCGGACAATGGGTGCACATAGTTTCCTAAAAAACATAAAGTTACTAGAGATTTTAATTTTTCGATGCCTATATGTGTTGACTTCATTTTTTGGCTTGCCTGATAAGGTTCTAGAAGCTACCTCAAATGAAAAAGAATGCTCAACATAAAAATTCTTTGTCTCCTGGAGACGAACAATTCACTTTTTAGAATCACCTCAATCCAATTCCGTATGCAAATACTACAACCAAAACAGATCGACCTGACCATAACCAAAACTTAGCGCCCGACCCAAACACTCATGCTTGATTCATTGTGGGGGGTTTTCGACCCCCAATACGGCATCTACTGAAAAAAGTGTCCAACATGAAAATTGCCGCCATCGTCGTGGCGCAAAACTTTGGTTTTTGGATCATCTCCATCCGAGGTCATATGCAGCCTTCAGAGCTAAAATACATGCGCCTGATTTCAGACATCATTTAATACATGTCTGATACATGGTGTCAGTCATTCAGCCCCCAAGATTGCGTCGAAAAAAACTTTCGACATGAAAAGTCTTCAGCCCGTCGAACTGAACAACTTTTTTACTTT